TGCTCCACACAGCACAGCAGGAAGCCTCGGGAGGCAGCACGGCTTCCCTGGCTCTAGCCCTGCACAGTTTGTGCCTTCATCTCACAGGAGGGGGAAATGGTGATTTAAAAAAAAGCGCTTTACCCAAGCTGCAAGTTTCACTTCTGGCATCTATTTTTGCCTCTCCCGGCAGGGCAGGGCAGGGCACTGGAGTCTGGCTGCGGCGGCTGCGCACTCGGTGCCTCTGTCCCTGTGCCCGCAGAGGACGCCTGGGCCAGGGCCAGCGCCGAAGGGCACTGCCACTGCCCAGGGTCCCCTCTGAGGACCTGCTCCGCCTGCCCGTGTTCCGAATGCAGCCGAGCACACGGGCCATCTCCAGCTCGGAGGAGTCCTGCCAGGGGCTGCAGCTCTGCAGCACTCACACCTGCCTGACGTCAGCTCACACAGCAGTCGCTCCTAAGGCACACCAGGTCTTGGAGCGACACATCACAGCATCACACAGCGGGCTGGGCTGGAAGGGACCTTAAAGGTCACCTCATTTCAACTCCTGCCAAGATGCAGGAGTCTGTACAGAAAAATTCAGTGACTAAGTATCTGTCTTATGTTCAAGAGATAATGCAAGAATAGCTGTATAATTAATACTAATATTATATACACTAATAAGAAATCAAATATTTTAACATTAAGGTCAATTTTTCAGCGTGCTGCTATTTTAGTAAAGAACAAGGACATTACATATTGAATTACTGAAAAATTAAAAATTACTTTTGAATATCCAAACCAAAAATCTTTTTTAATCTGTACTGAAGTATTGACTGACCTTATAAGGTCCAGACAGAGCTGGTGCAGCATCTCCCTAAATTGCTTTTGCAGAACATCTGAAGTTTGGGACATTGCAGCAAGGTAACTCAATGACTGGACAGCACACACCAAAACTGACACAGCTGAAACAAAACCAAAACTGAGCAATGGCTTCAGCAATGGTGATTGGACTGGGAATTCCCCAAAGGGGGATATTCCATTTTCTATTTCCCCGAGGTTTTCTGGTACATGGTACAGCTGCTTAACTACCCACCCTGCCAGGGGCTGGGGACCGCTGGCAGCCGCAGGCGCCGGGCCCACGCCGGGACACCGCGGGATCCTGCCCCGGATCCCCAGGAGCCTCTCCAGCACACAGCAGCTCAGCCACTGGCAAACCTTTCAGCAGGAGCACAAGTAAACAGCTCTGGTCAGCAGTGTATTTTTAAACAGCAGATTCTTTCCCAGCTCCCGGCTCAGCCCCTGCACTGACTCCACAGGGCAGCAGCACACTCCTTTCCGAGGATCCGCAGCAAGGCTGTAACGTTACCCACGGTTATCACCCACGGACCTTGCTGCGCTTGGCAAAGGTCAGCCTTAGTTCCTGCATTGAAAAAGGAAGCGAAGAGCCCTGCTGACGGCAGCAGAAGGGCCAGTCACGCTGCCGGGGCTGGGGAAACCAGGCCAGGCCGCGGTCCATCCTCCCTTCCAGACACCAGCTCACGCTGCCGCCCGGCTCCAGCACCAGCAGCACCCCCGTCCAGCACCGAGATTTTAAGGCACTTTCAGCAACCACTGACATCGTGTCCGGGTGGCTCTAGCAGCTGGCTTCCAGCCTTTCGGCCAGATCCTCACGATGACAAGCGGCAGGCCAGCGGGGTCAGGCCGCGGTGGCCAGACGCACGTTGCCGGGAAACCAACCCAGGCACACTGCGGGTGCTGCTGCACCAGCAAAGCCGTGGTGGCAGTCACAGCCCCTCGCCCACAAACGGGTCAGAGGCTCTGGGGCCAGGCCTGTGCTCCGGCAGCACCGCCATCCCCACGGTGCCACCGCGCAGCCGCCGCCGGCCTCGCCGACACGCGGTGCCACCGCGTCCTCGTGGTGACACCGCGGGGCTGGGACTCCCCCCTGGCACCGGCAGCCCTGGCTCTGCTCCTACCTCCAGCATGTGCTTAATGCATAAAAACATCTTGTTTTCACCTTTTAAAATTAATACCCTGCATGCATGTAATTGCTGTATTTAAAAATAAATTGAACAACAGAGAAACAAATCCTTTCAGTATCTGCAAGGGAAGCCATGGCTGGGGGTGATGGAGCATCTCAGGCCTGAGAGCACTGTAGAGCTTTACCCTGATCCCTGACCAGAGACAAGACACACTGCGAAGCTCGGGACGCTGAGGATTTGCAGAGGCCGCCGTAAGCCCCTTCCTGCCCCACGCACGCTGTGCTATCCCGGCTGAGCCATGGGCTGCAGGAGCTGCTCCAGCTGCCTCCCGAGCACGGGCCACCAGCAGCCAGCTCCGCTTCCCGGGGCCCAGGAGGAGAACATCACACTGCAGAAGAAGCTGACAGACAAGTACACTTCTGCTTCCGAGTTTTGATTTTTTCATTACTCTGCTGGATTAATTCTGTACTGTTTGTGGTATGAGTATTTGACATGTTAGGTTACTTAAATCATGAAAAACCGCGGGAAGGAGCTGGGACCTGCACATTTAACACCTGACACGGCAGCTACAGTGAAACAAGAGCCCTGTATTTATGGTGCCTAGCTGGGATGTGCCTCCTGAAAACCCTCTGTGCTCCTGCACATCCAGAGGCACCTTGCCTTCTGTTAAGTGCTGTCCTTCCCTTAAGCCAGCGCACTTGGGAAAAAGATGGGATAACCACGCCAGTGCCAAGCACAGAAAGGCAAGCAGGGTTTTCACAGGCACCTGAATAACCCGGGCAGGAAAACACTCTTCTAAGGTTCACTATCAGCTGTCCAGATACACCAACAACCCGCTGGTAGTTACGAGATGGAAACAAATCCTCATATTGCTTACGTGGTTTGTGCTATTAAAAACAAAGAATCCTCACAGTGACTTTGCTGTTTCTACGTGAAGTGCCCTTTATTCCAGCTACAAGCAGGGAATAATTTGGAGGCAAAGAATGAGCCCCTGTAGCCATACTGGAGAATTTGAGCCCTGCCAGACGTATTTTCCCTTCGTTCCCTATATCCTTCCCCTTCCCCTGAGGAGAGCAGCAACACAAATCAACAAGCATCAATAACATAAAAGCAGCAAAACACTCCACTGCTGGCAGCCAGCGCTTGCTCCTGTTCGGCTGCAGGATTTCTCTGGCTACAACTGCTTCTTTCATTAACCATTTATCCTTGAAAATAATGTAATATTTACTCACTTTCAATGAGTCAAAGCAGGCGATTACGCGTCCGTTTTCAACTTGGCAGCTTTTCGACGGGTGTGCAAATTTACATTCCGTGTCTGGTCGTGAGCAAGTCCCCCTTTGGAACTCCCTACACACTTCCAGCGTTAGCCATTTTGTGTCCCGGATCGGTGTGACGCTAACAGCCATCTTTAGATTTTACAGGTAGTTAAAATTTCCAATAAAAACGGGCACACGAGTAGCTGAACTGATAAACTGGAAATTATGGAGGTGCCACCTCCAGAACGCTTTTTTTTTCCCCCGCTCCCTATTTTAAACTGAGTACGTGTCAGGCTGGGTGGCTGCAATCTCGAGGAGGGCTGTGTCAGCGGAGTCGGAGCGCGGCGCCGTTAGCGGGCTCGGAGGGCCGGGCCGCCGGCCGGGTGCGCTGCGGGAGCGTGGCCGGGACTAGCCCCGCGCGCTCCGCATCCCGGCCGGAGCGCGGCCGCGCGAGCACGGGGAGCCGGCGGGCTCCGGCAGCAATCCCGAGCGGCTCCCGGGGCGGCGGCGGGCAGGTGCCTCCAGGCAGCGGGCTCGCAGCGGGCTCTGCGGTGCGACCGGGATCGATTAGTTTGGCATAGACAGATGCAGCAGTTTAGAGCAACGACCGACACCGGGCTTAGGCTGGGGTTTTTCTCCTCCTCTCCTTGGCTTTCGGGCAGCAGAGCTCTGACCTTCGCGGCACACTTTAGTGCACAGTGCAGCGGCGGCGGGGGAGCGGCGCCGGACCCTCCTCCCGGCGGGCGCGGGGCTGGCAGCGCCGGAGCGCTGTCGTCGCAGTCTAGCTGGCAGCAAGCAAGGCAAAAGCAGCGGCTGCTCTAGAAGCGGTCCCAAGCAGCAGCGACGTCAGGAAAGGCACTTCTTAGTACCAACCTGTGGAGAGAAGAGACACGTTACGAGCGGGCGGCGCGGGCGCCCCGCGAGCCGCCGCCCCGCGCAGGGCACTCACGGCTGCGGGCGGCGGGGCCGCGTCCCCGCGCGGGGCCGGGCGGCAGCTCCGCCGCGGGCCAATCGCGGCGAGCGTTGCAGCGACACTCCGGGCAGGGAGCCAATGGCGGGGGCCGTCTTATGAAAGGTCGCGCCTGTCAGACGCCGGCCGCGCCGCGCTGCCCCGAGCGCGCCCGCCGGGGGTCGCGCGTGCGGCCCGGCGGAACGGACGCGCGAGCCCGGCGGGGAACGGCACCGGGAACGGCACCGGGAACGGCACCGGGAACGGCACCGGGAACGGCCCTCCCCGCCGCTCGGCCTGACCGCCCGCCGCCGCTCCCCGGCGCGCGGAATGGCAGCGGCACCGCCCCGTCGGCCCGCCCGCCGTGAGCACCGAGCCCAGACACGCTGACCCCGGAGCGGCTCGGCCCCGGCGGAGTCCGACCGCCCGCTCGGACACGGCCAGCGGCACCGGGGCCGCGCCGACA